TGAAGATGGGGAGAGCGGGAGAGCGAGCACGCCGGCGTAGGGTAGTTCGATGCACCTTCCGTCCCATCCCCATCCCATCCCATCGAATCCATCCAAACCCATACAGACCCATCCCATCGAACCCATCGAACCATCCAAACCCATACCAACCCCCGCGCGGCGGCTAGGTTAGCTGAACCTGGTTGGCACGAAAGCCCAGACCTTCGCCAATCCCCTGTCCCCAGCCCGCGCCACCAACCAAACCAGCTAGCCCGGCCACGAACCTCACATCAGAAACGGATTTTTCGGCTTTGACGAGGGCCAGGGGGAAGGAGGGTGGGTGTACATGGGCTGGTACATGCACGTCGCGCAAGGGGCTTCTTTGTTTTTGTTTACCTAACACGAGAGATGATGTCATTCTCCAAGGATGGAAGCTGTTTTTGCTTCCCTGGCAGAAAAAATGCGCAAAAAGCAAGTACGATGCGAAATTACAGTCTTGGGGTGGTTTTCAGTGCTGGATGGGGATATTGCTCTTTCGAGGTGTTTTGAGGATTTCGAGCTCCGCTTTATTTTGTGTGTGGGGGCTGGTGGGCAGTGGGGGCGTTGACATGTTGAGATTCTGGTGGGGTGTGGGGGGTTTGATAGGGGGTAGGTGCTTAGGTGGGTTTTGGTTGATACTGTGCCGCCATCGATGGCGAAAAACGGTGGCAATGCGTGAACTTCACGACTTACTCGATGATTGGTGCTTCAAAGAGGCGATGATGGAGTCGATGTGGTGGGGATAAGGTTACACGGGCTACGTTTGAGCAATACTGACTAACACTGATGCGAACTGACGACAAACTGATCGGCCGGAGCTTGACGACTCGACTCGGGGTTGATCACCGAAAAGTACGTGGACTTAAGGTTTGTCTGCTCGGGCAGCAAGAATCTCTGTTGAGGAATTTGCCACCAAATATATTGGAAAAGGCGGTTTTGTAGGGGATTTAAGCCTACTTGCCTTACGATTTGGGGTTACACAAAAACGGATACGGAATGTAAGTACTATACTATTTCTTGCAGTCGAAGATCACTGTGGCGATCAGTATCAGGGCTCTCAGGGTTATTGGTGCTTATCAGTTTTATATCCTCCCTCCTGCCTCATTGTCCCAATCCTTTTTCTCGAGCACATAGACTACTGTGTCCTTTCTCTTATCTTGTTTCTTTTGTGGCTTGTTGCACTGCACCGCCCTCGGTTGCGCCTTTCTATGGCTTTGAGACAGCATAAGGAGCGACAACGCAGATATCCTCTTTGGGGAGACCGAGCGGTAAGCTCGGTTTATTCCACTATACATTTATCATACATTTCCTGCTTCCCCTACCTCACACACCGTCGTCATGTCTAGAGTCAAGTGCTGCAGGTCATGAGGGTCACTTGGACATCCGGATAACACCTCCCCCGGCGTCAACTCCCTGTTTTCCCGCGCAAATTGCCTCGTGGTCGCAACCAGCGTTTGCACGTGCTATCAAGTAGGAGTGAGGGGATTTGAGTAACGCTGGACGGCTTTCCCCAAGCGGGGATCCCATATCGTGACCGCCGCCGGAACGTCGGACTCTCCTTTAATGTCGGTCTAAGGCAGGAAATCGTGCAGTCTGGGGTGCAGAAGGAGTAAGCTGTGCATGGGGATACAGAGGTTATGCTGCTGTTGATCGACTGTCTAGCTTTACAATTTACAGGTTTAACAGCATGTTATTTTATTACCTTGAAGGTTTCCCGCTGTGCTTGCTCAGTCCGCATATTCGGTTGCTACTACCTATCTAGGCAGTAATAGACATCTTCGGGCTAAAACTTGCAACATTGTGCATCCCAAACGAGCATGGTAACTACCAACTCACTCACTTCCATGTCCTCCTCCTGTCTACAGCGTTTCGCCTGATACAGCTACACTACACTACACAGCTCACCGCATTCCAACCACTCTGATCACCCGTTCTCTGCACGTCACTCTCACTAGCCCCCCTCTCCATGCACCAGCCCGAATCCTCACTCCGACTCGTAACCCTGCAGCGGCAAGGGCTGACGATGGTGATCTCCGTCGTCGGAGATATTCCCAACACGCTGGATGTGAGAACGGCAGCACGGCAACCATCACCTCGGCGGCCTCCTGCGCTCACCGCCTCGGGGCCATGACTCGCTCCCCAGGCTCGCGGTGGATGAACCCCTACCTGTTCTACCCCTGGAACTTGAGGTTTGAGGGGAAACGTGCGGGGAGGAGGAGCGGGGTCGGAGGGGCTGGTGAGAGATTGGGGGGGTTAAGGATGGTCGGGGGGGGTTATCACGGCTTGGATGAGGTGTCTCGGTGTTATCTTGCGGGTTTCTGTGTTGGGATTCCCTCGGCTCTGGGTCAGGTGGATCCGTGAAGGTGTTGTTATCACCCCTCGGGCTCTGCAAGATGCGAGTATTGTTACGAGATCGGCAAATGGTCATGAATGAGGACAATGATACTTGCAGGCCGTCGTCCGAGTATCAGGGTCAGTTCTTCAGCGGAGACAGGTACAGCCCGTCTTTGTCTTCTATAAGTCACTATGTGGCGCCGTGACAAAGGGATAGGCCGCACATCTCCTATTTTTGTAGATATTCAGATCCATTCACCCCGAGCAACAGCCGTTCAACACCCATCATCCAGGATGTGAAGAGGCTAGACCCCTCATTGTTGAAGGGACGAGGAGATGAGGGGGTGAGGAAGTGAGGGGGGGAGGGGGGAAGGCGGGTTGTCAAAGGGGGTTGGGAGGCGGGGTGTAAATCAACCGTTCAATAGTATGCTTATGGCGCCACCTATTTGTGGATGGCATGGGAGAGCTATATTGGAGAATCGGCTCGGCGACGGGAGGTGTGGAGTGAGGAGGGCCCGGGGTTGATGCGAGGCATTGAATTGGACTCTGGAGTATGCCGACTAACCTTGTATAATGATTGTACGTATTTGGGAGGTGGTGAAGGTTGCCAGATGAGAAGGCTGCATCCTAACGGTTAGAGGGATGAAGGTGGGTGCGGGACGGGACAATATAAGTGGGAGGCCCGATCGGGACGGAAGTGGATCGCGAACATCCTACGGCGTGGCGCCTGCGACGATGCGAGCGCGACCGAAGATGGTAGGCCTCCGCCGTGGAGGAGTGTCGAGGTGGGGAATCCGGAATGCGATGGATCGTTTCTGTCGAACCTCGACCCAGGCAGAAAGAGGGGCTGACTGGGAAGCTGCGAGATATGCGTGTTTGCTTGGCGGCTTTCCGATGGGGGTGAGGGCCTGGGCGATTGGCGAACATGGGGGAGTTTACGTACGCGCGCGTTGGAGGGGTTGCGGTGGACAATCTATTGAGGTTTCGTGTGGTGCATAGGTCGTAGCTATTATTGATATCAGCTCCCTGTCAGGGTGGTGGGCCCTGGTGGGTTCGTATGCTGTCAGTTATGTGAGAGTGCTAGGATACGCGAATACGTGCATCCCTACGGGAAGGCCATCTCTGGGCAGCACGTTTTATCCCTGGCCGTCGTTGCTGTGAAGAACGCCTCCTGGCCATTGATTGCGCGACATCACGCTGTCCTGACACATCGAGACCGTTAACCTCGCCTTGTACGACAGTGAGTAGGCTATATGCGGTATCACCGGTGTGGACACAAGCGATAGGGGGATTCTACAGCGGCCTCATAATACCTCAATCATCTCCGTGGACATCGCGGCTCGAATCGTCAGCTCATGCATAACTGTTTGATCATCTGTGGGTCTGCAGCTGGAGGTATGCACGGCACCTATCAGCGGTAAGTTCAAGTGTCCATCAGAAGATGAGATGCCTCAGTTACAGGTCGCTCCTTCCTCCATATAGCACTTCGAATTCGACGTTGTGCATGCCGCAAATCCCACTGTGGCTTGCCGAGAACCGCTGCAACGCTGTGGCGAAGAAAACGGGTTACTTGCCGTTGCCACGGCGGCGCTGATGAAGAATTTATATATATTATAAATGGTCGCCGCCGGCCGACCCCTTCAGGGATCCAGCGATGCGGGCTCAGTGTAGTGGCGTCGCACCGCAGTAAGTTCGTCGATACATGTCTCAGATGTACACGCGATTAGGCGCTGTAGCGACCCATGCATTGCGCCATAGTGGTGTCTGGGCGCGCCCCTCACCCCACCACCAACATCCTGCCAATGCCACCTTGGCGGTGTCTGTTGAGCAATTCGCCGCCGCCGCCAGCCATTGAGTCACGAGTAGGTTGGACGTCTGCGGTGCGGCATGGGGGATCTAGTCAGCATATTTCGATGATGAGGTGGCGGGGACACGGCATTCGATGGTTGATGGGTGTGATGGCACGAGATAGGGGCAATCTATGCTGTGCTCTCGTCGGCGTCCTTAGATGGCAGGCATTGGAGATTGGAAGTTTCCGTCTCGGCTCTTTGTGAGGGGTCGCGGATTTCCGCTCTGGGAGTAAGGGGCGTCAGGGAGCCTCTGGGATAATTGCCTGGTGTTGAAGGTACCCCTTATCAAGGGAGGAGCATATGTGAGTGAGTACCTCTACCTATGCTTCAGCGCTTGGTACGTACTAGCTCTCCTTATTTACTAGATGGGGGTTCTGGATATGATCAATTTTATATGTTTCTCTTGCTCATTGAAAGTTCAATCAATTGCCTCCATGTTCAATTGATCTCTTCGGATATCTCTGGGGTTGACACAACTATGCTACATGCTCTGGCACGGGAGTATCTCTATATTTATTTTGTTTTTATGAATGGCGTTCTGATTTCTCATCTGTAGGCCGCTCTTTGCTGTCACCATTTCATAAGTCCCTCAGAACTTTCGGAGACCCTCTCCGAACGGCTGTCTCTCTATCTACAGCTCTGAAAGCCGTTGTTAGCCGTTGCCATCGACGAGAAGCCACAGGACGCCAGCGTCCAAGTGCGACGTCGATAAGCACAGAGGCTATGCAGTGGTGGAAGCAGTCTGCTGACCCAGAGTTGGAGACAGCAGTTGAGGGAGATAGGAGGGATTACGTGTGACTATGGTCCTAAGACCTTTGAGTCAGCCAGCTTGGGCAGTGCCTCGCGGGAGCCACCAGGTACGTCGGGATGACTGCTTCCTGCCATGGTAGGAGTATCTGTCTCCCGTCTCTTCTCCCGTCTCTTCTCCCGTCTCTTCTCCCGTCTCCTTTCCCGTCTCCTTTCCCGTCTCCTTTCCCGTCTCCCGACATAGATGGCGGGACGAACCGCTACCCGGAGTGTCGGGGGTCGATGGCATTGCCGTGAAATGCGTATATCACGGGAACTGGCATGAGCAACGGGAACGGACGACAACCGCGTTGGTAACAGAATCACTATGGCGGCAGACTTGGGATATGGTATTCACTGCTCAATCACGATCCATAAGCTCTTCGACTTCATGCAACAAATATAAACATGTTCAACCTCTTTGCTAACTATACCCGATAGTAAAATGAGTTAACGACAGGACTAGCTATAAGAATTGAATATCTTCAGAGAAAAGCGGGTACGTCTTCAAGTCTTCATGTATAGGGGCCAGATATCTTTTCCGTTCTACTTCTAGCAGAAACTCAACTTCTCCTTAAACATCTAGAAACTTATCATTGTTTAAAGGTAGAGCCGATTGGGCCGACCTTGATGTTGGAGTAGGTGACCGACGCGCTCGCGGAACCAGACTCGACGTCCGAGGGAACGCCGGACGAGGTGGCGCAAGAACCACGAACGGAGCCGAGCTTGGTCGAGTCGGTGGGGTAGGTAGAGTCAAGCCAGAGCATGTTGGAGTAGTGGTCATCCCAGAGCGACATGACGAGCACCATTCCGGCGCCGAGAGCCTTGCTCATGGACGCCATCCCGCCGTGGTCCGCGAAGCTGGTGTTGTCGCCAAAGGCAATCTTTTGTGCATCGCAGTACTCGGTGGTGACGGAGTTGCCGCTAACACCTGCGATCGTGGACTCCGAGTTGGGGATGGTCTTGCCGTTCTGAACGTAGAAGCGCTTGATTTCTGTCAGGGGGTTGCCGATGAACTGCGTCACAACCGTGAACACCTTGCTGGTGTCGACGGTCATGCCCTTTCCGTAGAAAGAGGTGTCGCCTTGACGGTACGAGTTGAAATCGCATCCGTCAGGGTCGCATGTTCCTCCATAGCGGTCGGCTGAGTAGGTTCCTCCACATCCGTCGCCGTTGCACATTGTCTGGGTGATGGTATCGCAAGAGTGCGGCGTGTACGCCGTGGCCATGGAGTTAGCCTCCCAGATATCCATCTCGGCGCAGCAAGAGCCGTGGCCTCCAACACCGGCATTGGGGTCGTTGGAGGATGGCTTCCATCCTTCGGCGTTGCCCTGGACAAAAGGTAAGCAGGTGAATGAATACATAATGTCAACTCGCGCTTACCATGCCGTTGATGAACTTCAGATCACGCGGACATTGAGCATCACAGTATCCAGTTCCGTACTTAGCACCGGCCTTGTTGGTAGGGTATTTGCTCATTCCTCCGTCCTTGTCCATAGAGACAAAGTAGAGGGCGCCGTTCAGGCCGCAAGGAAGCTGCGAGAGATCCACATCAAAAGTGAACTCCTGGTCGAGGAGGTTGAACATCTGATAGTTGGTGTCATCTGCCATGAGGTATGTTCGGGAGCCAATGTTGGTGGCGTACTGTCCCTTGGTGACGAAAGTCAACTTGTTCGAATTTCCGCTCACATTGATTCCGTACGTGCCTGGGTAGTCACCACCCTCAAGGGCACAGTTTTTGGCGCAGGATGCGTTGTCTGGGCAGAGCGTGGCATCCCACTCGTTGTCGGTGTAGCAGTTGGTATAGTCACCGACCTTGTGGACCCATCTCCAGTTAGAGTCGAGCACAACCTTCCCTGACTGCGACGCGCAGCTGGTTCCTCCGGTGCCGGTGCACTTTGACCATGTCATGGAAGGGTGTGTCTCAGCCTGTTCGGTGCCAACCTGCTGCGCGCTGGCAGCGGCGATGAGGGAGAAGAGGATAGCTTTGGTATACATGATGGTAAGATGATCAGATGCTTGATGTCTGTCGGACTATTCCTTTTTCTCTGGGGGGAGGGGTCGTTTTATACTTGACGCCATCGCGTCAGGAACAACAACTGGTCTGGGAAAGAATATTCCAAGAAGTCCAATTTGGAAACGGCTCCTCGATCTCCGCCTTGGAAACTTCAAAATGTAATGGATCTATCGGCTCGTCGGGAACGATGGGTTGACAAAAATCCATATTCAAGGCCTTGATGTTGTTCTGGCTGTCGGAATTATAGTAGGGCGCATAATGAAGAGGAATGCGCTTGGTAGTATCAAAGACTACTTGTTGGCAGAGCTGGCGTCTTTACCGTGGGTATCAGCTACAAGCTGGGCAACTCTCATTATTCCATGGCTATTTGCAACTCTCATATTAGAAGGAACAGGTGACTGGATATCTTGATCTGATCAACCTTAGGCCAGGGAAACTTCACCGATTGGGGAGGAACCCCTCTCCCCCTTACTCTAAATGTTTCGATCTGCACGGAATCCAGGTTATGATTCCGGAAGGCAGGGTTTGCTGCTGGTTTGGTTTGTGTGTGGCTCGAGGATATGGAGAAAAGCTGCCCCGATTATGATTCTAGAGATTCAGCCTAGATACTCTTGTGAGGCCGGTAGGGGTGCCTCATGAGTGGTTCAATGTGCTGATGCTCTATGTGAAAGTTCGTGCCTGTGAACGAGTGTCGGACGCGTCCTTCTTGGCCGGCATAAACAGCCAAATGGGAAACGAACGTCAAAATAAGGAACAGCCCAATCACTACGAACTCTTGATATCGGATTAATTACACAGCCCATGGTAACCGTGCGGATAAACCACCAATGCCACCGGCAATGCACAGCGGAGAATACAGCTAGTGTATTCGTGGGGTCGTATTTACTTGAAACCAAGGGTGAGAAGCCGCCCAAGGGTATCCCAGAATGGGCTGTCGAATGAGTGCAGAGTTCCGGACGAAATGCCGAGGGCGGCATGATAGAGAGATGTTCTGTTTAACATCCTTTGGATGATCTGAATAAGCCGTTCATTACGTTGTAGGTAGGCATGAGGGGTAACAGCCACATTTTTACAGTATTATTTGAAGCCCACGGAGTTTTCTTGCATGTACTATGAGAATGTGTTTTGTACACGCGTCGTCGCTGGAAACAAGGTGGCGTTGATCAGTGCCGATCGTGGCTGATTTTAGTATTGTCGCTTGGAAAAACCTGGGGTAAGTGGATTAAGCCACCCCCGTATACCCCGCCATACGGGTGAAGCATTGACTACAGCACGTCCCTAGTGGTGAACTACTCTCGTATCAACAAGAGTGCAACAAGAGTGCTCCGCAACTATGGAACTCTATGTCAATCAAGCTCGGCACTTCGTACCACAGAATACAATCACCTCCCGTATAGTCGTGGCGCGTCGTGGCGCGTCTTCACCGTGTAACTTGCATGGAAGAAACCTCATCGGACTGAATGATAATAATCATAGCCACGAGATAGAGCCTAAGCAGATGCAACCGGCGGGCCGCCAGGTGCGAAGTGACGGCTAGCATGGCATCTACCCGCCCAAGACTCGATATCCGGGGAAAAGGAGTAAGGCAGTTATGAAGCCCCTGTTTCTATGCCCCATCGCCTGCCTCGCGCTAAGCTAATTGCCAATATAGCCACTATATAAATGAAGCGCTTCGAGAGGACCCATGAGAACTCTCGAGCAGGGGGGCTCTCAGGGTGTTTCGCCGGATATACCTACAAAGTTGCCCTCGTGGGTGTAGCCCTCTCTCACATAGGGCATCACCCGCTGATCATTGATATACAGAGTGAAGATCAACATGGCACGAGATTCCCGCTGGTATCAGCGTGAAGTTGCGGGGGAAAACTCTTGTTATATGGGGTAGCCCAGTTTAATAGATTGTATCAAACTTACGCCTGTTGCTTAAACCAACGCTTGTCGTCCAACAAAAGTAATCTACGCCAAGCTAGCGCCAGAACACCCACCTCCAGTAGATGTAAGAATTTAGTCAGGTTCGGTCCTATTCAGGCCGTTTCAACATGGATGCTCGTGGATAATTCCTTCTATCATATAGTAGTTTGCCAGCATACTTCAAATGTCGCACCTATCAGATCCTGTTCGCACAAATTAGCCACCACTGTCGAGTTAATGCAATGTGACCCACCGAAACCGGCATTTATCAGGACGATCTAGATGTGGAGGCATATCACTGCCGGCGAGAGTAACATCGTGGCTGTTGGCAGCGCCTCCAACAACGCCACTGCAGGCAGGTTCGACGCCCGGTTTGTCCAAGACAGTGCGCCGATTTAATAATACTGACGTGGGCGTGCCTGGCAATACAGTGGCAGCGACTGCCAAGTCCTGGCAGATATATTCTCTGCGGTCACCTGTTTGGATGCTTCCAACACGAACAAATCACAGGACTTCAACACTTGGGTAAAAGAGGATTCCTTATACGTGGTGGCCATTTGACCAGCCATCTGAATGTCGTAATTACATTTATACAGTACCAGCGATTAAACACTAAACTACACTTATCAGACTAGCCTCAGTTCATCTAAGCCCTATCGTCCAGCATCCCTCAATGCCATTACCCACTCTTCTTCCCCTTCCACGGTGCTATCGTTCAGGATGGCCAAGACCTCTCGTGCGGAGGTGACACCGTAGAATTTAGTCTCCAGGCTTCCAATCAGCGCCACCATAGCTCTAACCAAGACAGCATCGCCTTCAAACACCCATATATCCCAGAGTCGCGTGATTACATCGAGACTGAGCTGCTTCGTGAAGAGCGACGAGAAGATGGGGTTTACGCACGGCCCCGGCTGTTGATCGATCTGGATAGTTTGGCAGAGGTGCTTATAAAGACGCGGGAATTTGGCGGATAATGTCTCCAGGACAAGAGAGTGGATGCGAGACATCGCGCCGTGATCATGGGTATGGAAGCTGAGAGGAAGCGGCCGGTTAAGGAGGTTGGCCAACGCGCAGAACGCGGCAGCCGGTGTTGGAAAATTAAGCAACAAGAGTGCTGTGGCGGTCTATCGAGAGTTAGTACGGAGATTTCAGGCAGCAGAATTAGTATACATACACTTAGGCCGTCGACGTATCCAACGTCACTCCTATACATCACATATGCCATCAGAACGTCAACCAGCGACTCGGAGAGCGGTCCGCCAGGACGGAAGATGCGGAGTTCGGGGTAGGTTGTCGTTACATCCCTGTTGATGCTCTCGAACCATTTCCCTTGGACAAGGTCGTCGGCTGTGGCGTTGCCTTTTGCTAGTTTCTTCTCGAGCTTCTTGGCACGTCGTAACGCCGCATTATATGATGACTCCGATACACCAAGCTCGTTGCCAATAGCCCTGTCCCATACAGCACCTCTAGATCTAGGGGCGATACCTCTCCACCACAACTCCCTCGTTCGCTTCAAAGAGGTTGCTGCCTCCCAGTTTGGCAGAACGTGGTCTTCCCATATCCTCAGTAATGAGCTGGCCGTATCATCTCGAGATGTGTCGCTTGAATTTGAAGCCTCTCGTTTTTTCTCGGCCTCCATGGACGCCGCCATCATTTTTTGGTACTCTTTCAGATGTCGCTTTTCCTCCAGAGGGTCCTTGGGCGGGAGCCAGCTCGGCCTCGTTCTGGATAGTACAGCCATTTTCTCTTTTGAAATTGGAAGCGGGTCGATCATCACGTCGTTCCTTCGCAGGGGGAGCTCCGACATGACGGATTTGGATCGCTTGATATCAGAGAGGAAGGGTGGCCGCTTCGGTTGGTTGGACTCCAATTGCTCATCTGCATGTGCTTCAAGGGCTTCCGTTAGAGATTTAGCTTCCGCATTCAGCTCTGACAGCGCTACCGTCCAGCTCTTCGCACGTCCGGGTTTCGTATAGAATGATGGACTTGTCGGTTTATGAAAACTTTCGTCCTGCTTCAGGCTCCCTTGTGCACCTGGCGTTGCCGGAGTTCCATTGCCAGCGGGCTTGATCTTCTCTTTCGGGACTGCTGGCGGTACGTCCACTGTTCGTTCGCCGGGTGGGCGCGGGGACATGGGGACGTTTTGGAGGAAGCATTCATCCGGGATATCATCGTCTTCATCGTCGCATTCCTTTTCCAATTCCTGTGCTGACTTGCGCTCCCGATTTGACTGCCAGCTCATTCGTGGTGACCGCGGTGACCTCGGAAATGGTCCAGGCTGTGTAAATGGGCTCGGGCTTCGATTTCGCCCATTCATCGCTCCAAGGCTGGTCATGGACTGGGTTGAGAAGGTGCGCCGTGGAGCTGCGCTACCGGGCGCCAGTCCCAGCCCGAGCCCTTCGCCAGCCAGTTTCCGCCCATGGGGGCCTAGACCCGGCACAGCCGGCCTCCCCTTTGATGTCAGGTTTCTCTGTATGGATGCCAGCGATCTCGATCTCCCTTTCATGGATCGATCCGAGGAATGTGACGGTAGCTCATCGACGAAGTCGTCGGTCTCTTGTTCCGACTGCGCATCGTCCAGCCCAATATCCTCAAAGTGTCCTACATCTGCCAGGATGCCATTGTCGTCCGATTGGTAGGAAGAATGGAAGGACGACTTGGACGACTTTGAGCTACTGAGCGAAAGGTCGGGAGGTGAGCCCGGCATGCCAAAACTGCTCTCGTGGCTCTCCTCATCGAGGGTGGTCTGGTTCATAGCATATTCAGCAGTCGAGGTATGGTTCGTCGCGAAGAATGGAGGAGCTACTGAGGACGCAATGTTGGCGGTTGCCCGACTCTCACGGGTGCGTTGGATATCGTGGGCTGTTTCGTGTATTTGTTTGGATTCGAGCTGTTTCGAACTCCGGAAGTCGGTGAAGACAGTAGTAATGAGAGAAGCTCCTGGGAAATTAGACAGGGACCATGCCACGACCCTTGAATGAACGGCGGGAAACGGGCTGTGAAGAAGGGACGAATGACAAAGAAGCGAATGTAAATAGAATAAGAAGCAATATGTGCTATAAAAGTACTGCAAAAAGTACTGTAAGAACGAATATCAACACTGCGAAACGAATGATGCCGTATTGACGATTTGAAGATTGGCGGTGGGTTAGTTTTGTCGACGATGATGTTTGCGGTCTGTGGTCGGGGATGGGGGTGGGTTTGGAGTTGTTTGGCCCAGTTTTGGACGAGATGATGTGTGGTACGTACCTTAATGTGGGAGAGAACCGGTTCGGTCAGGGGGTATATTCAGGTACGGGTCGAACAGCCGGGCCTTATTGGCTTATCGGCTTATGGGATTAATGATGTTATCTCCTTAAATTCTACAGCATGGCATGGGGGATAATGAATGGTTTTTTAATATATGAATAGTATCTCCAGATAATTAGAATATTATAGTAGAGGTCGAGGAGAACCTATATGAATTTGTAAGGCTGGATTTAGGGTATACATGGGTTGATAGGCGGGGCTTATTGACTTATCGGCTCATTAGGATTATTTAGAGTTATTTCCCTAAATTCTTCAGCATGGGGAATAGATAATGGATGACTTTTGAATATACGAACAGTATCTCCAGATGATTAGAATATTATAGTGGAGATTGAGGAGAAACTATATGAATTTGTGAAACTGAATTCAGGGTATACTGGGTCGATAGCCAGGGCTTATTATCCTGTCGTCGGCATATTAGGATTATTAAATTTATTTCCCTAAATTATTCAGCACGGGGATAAAGGCATTTAATCATATATTACCTCCCTACGATGACGATACTATCTATATATCGTAGAGATTGAGGAAAACCCGTGAATTTATTTATATTCACTCTCAAGTAAAGTTAAATCCAGGGCATACTTAAGTTTTATGTATCTAGCAGCATCCTTTATCCAATCCGTTTATTCATGCCCCTTAACTACATCCTATCTATATTCTAAAAATCCACCTCCCACCACCATAAACCCCATCATATCATCACTCATGCCATGCCGTTGGTATCTTAGACGCTATCATCACCTCACACTGTGCTACTTGCACTTGAAGGGGTCGGCGGACCCGACCCATCATGATGCTTACCCTTCCCCTTGCTCTTACTGCTCCCCCCAGTCTTCTCCTTCCTCAACTCCGGCGCAAGTTCATTCCAGCGCCTCAGAACCTCCAAGCGCTCCTCTTCCGTCGCCGCCTTGACTTCTTCGTACCCATCCACAAAGTGCGCCGCAAGGATGAAGCTCAACGTATCGGAGCCCATGCGCCTCCTAATCGCCTCATAGGCGCCACGGAGCCCATACGTCGTTCCGCCTATAACTATGCCTCTCATAGGAAACAGTAAGTCACCAAACCCCTTCCCAAGCCCCTTGCGGAAGCCGCGCCAACCTCCAGTCTTTGCGCCGTTATACGGCTTGGTAACGACTCCTGCGTATGCTCTGCCGATGTTAATAGGCAGATGTATCAGGGAATGTGCGACAGAACCGGCCATGCTGAGGCCCGGGTTGGGGCCTTCCATGTTAGATAGTAAAAACTGTTCCTCTACGTTGTACTTGCACGGTCGGTAGAGCTTCATCACGTTCATATCGAGAATCCCCTCGTTCCCTAACACTGTTGCGGCAAAGGTGCTCAACCTCACATGCTCCCTCTTTGGACCCGTGGTCTTGACTCGCCACACTGCAGGGCGCTGTGGACTCATCATACATCTCAGGTTATCCACGTTTAAATGGGCATGAAAGCTCTCCGCGCCGGATTTGCACCCATCCTCCTCGCGGATGAGTTCGCCGAGCTCTCGTGCACGCTCTAGAGTCTCCGGCTTGAGCGCTTCGAGTATCGAATTCGCCAGTCCATCAGCCGTGAGCGATTTGTACGGCACCGGCAACGGTCCCGCGCCGGCACGCGCTACCATTGCGCCCCAGAAGGGCTGGTCACCAAAAAAGGGGACAATGACTGTAGGCCGCCCAAGCGCGATACCTGCTGACATGGTGCCCGCTCCACCGTGATGAACGACGCAGGAAACGTGTTTAAAAAGCCAGTCATGGGGAACGTTGCCGAGCATGAAAACGCCGTCGGGTTTATCGAGCTCGTTACCGCCGAGGCCGCCCCAGCCTTTGGAAACTAAGGCGCGCTGGCCCGTTTTCTTCACGGTGTCAAAGATCATCTTGGTCATGGCGTTCGGGTCGTCGACAACAATAGATCCGAAGCCGATGTACACGGGTGGGGGACCGGCGGCGAGGAAATCAGCCAGCTCGGCATCGGGTTGGTAGTCGGATCCGGATGAGAGGAAGTAGAAGCCCGAGATGGAGATATGAGGGCCCCAGTCTTTGGGCTTTGGAATCAGAGCCGGCGACCTATTGAACATGTTAGATTAATGCCACAACAATTCACTGGCTTTGGGAGTAGCCATTGGCAATATCCGTTAGGTAGCTCTCACCAACAATACGTATGAGGTATTCGCAACCTATGGAACATAGTCGTCGCTGCTGCCTGCGAAATGAACGGAAGCTCTAGAGTCTCTCTTCTGAACTTATTAATGATATCACCAAGACCTTGCCATGTCATCATATCTACAAGCGTATAGCTCATTTCATTTGCCATGCTTCCGTTACAATTTGTCGATTTGATGTTGGCTAATGGGTGTGGGAAATTATGAGTTGGCGACCACGGCATTCTAAGAAGGAACTAGTTGGCAATGCCCATGAGTATAACAGATGGTGTGGTCAAGACTTACGTGAACATTATATGCAATGGGATGCCCAATTTTTGTGCACAGTGGATATGCGCAAAACTCGGCGGGTTTGCAATAATGGCATGGGCAATGAAGGGTGCCACTTTCACACCACCCTTCGTCTCATTACCGCTTTCTTCGCTCGCTTCTTTGGCATCGGCACACGATTTCCAACATCCCTCGAGGATCTCAGCAATGCCCCTCCGCCTCTTTCCCACTTCACCGTCTTTCAGCGACTTCATCCCCGGGAGGAGACCAGGATTCTTAACCATAAACGCCATCAGCTCCGTGGGGTCGCCACCAATTTCAAAGAACTCCAAGCCGTTTTCCTCGACAAACTTCTTGAACGTGCCGTGAGTTGCCAAGCGGATGCGGTGGCCATATTTGCTTTTCAACTCACGACCGAGGGCAACGAAGGGTTGGACATCTCCTCGTGAGCCGACGACCTGGATTACCACGTTGAGGGGGGGTGGAGGTGCGCCAAGGGTGCCTATTAAATACGACGGAGTATATGCTGGCGATGGATGATCGGGCAGCTCCTGTTGGGCAGTCATATTAAGCTGCTGGATCTGCTGCGCAAGCTGAGTGTCTGTCTCATTTATCTGTATATCGATACGCCCGTCATCTAGTTCTTGGTGAGTCCACGAAATAAAGACCCGAGTGGAAGGCTAACCTGCGATATTAGATTGTGCATTGACGCCGGCCCTGCTGAGATCCAGAGTTCCCGTTGCCTCATTATAGGCCGGCGGGGCATCATCAACCGTTGGTTGATCTTCTGTTTCTTGGTCTGGCGGAGGAAGTTTGGAGGCCATTGGAGTCTATATTTTCGGTCAAGCAGGCGCGTGGAGGATGTATGTACAGCTACGTTGTCGGCGGGCTGGTGCTAGGCGATAGAAAATACCTCCTTGCCCTTAGTGAGGGAAGTTCGTAAATCAACGATAGCTCAGTGCGGTCGTGGACCCTTTTCACATAACACCAGCCAAGAAGTCCCTTGAAGGTTTCGGGTAGCTAGGTAGTTAAGAGGTTGGGAGATGTTCAGGGCATATGCAGGTACTCATACCTACAGAAACTAACTCTTCACGGTATAGTTGCATGTACTGATACTTATGGCGGCAGTGCCTGTCACCCACCACCATCGTCGTCATTGGTGTGAGGGGCAATCGCACTACCCGTCTATACAGCACGTGATTGAAGCTTATCTGTTTGCTGTGGGAGAAGTTCCTCGAAGCCCTCCTGCCCTCACCGCATTGTTGGACATTCTCACTCCCAGACGCTCATGTCTACGCACGAACTTCTCGCATTTTGAGTGCATATGAGAGTAAAGAATGATGCATCCATAATTCGCACGAACTCTCAGTATTATCCCTTCTCTTTAGCAGTCGATAATTTGTGAAGAGAAACAGTGTCGTCTAACTCCTCTGGTGTCTATGGCAAACACCCATACGAGCAGGATCCATGGATGGCGCACCAGAAGCGGGTATCACTTGTTGGACTCGTGCTCGCTGAAAAAGATGGGAGTGTATGAAGATCATGGCTGAATCGTTTCAGGAGGAACCAGCTTGCCCACAAGATCATCTCTATTGGGACTTGCATTTGAACGAGTCGGAATTGGGGACTAGTGATCAAAAGAGAAAAATTGACGATGAGAACGATGCTACGTGCATCGTGATGTAAAAAGGGTCGTTAATAGAGGGAAGTTCCAGCTAGTGACTTTATAGCGCGGTAGTAAGCTATAACCAATCCCTTACATTAGTAGGCACATATCCCCCTTAAATACGGCAGGCAGAGCGTAGGCAGATTAAGGGGACATTGGGTAGGAGTGTTGTGGACGGGTATCGGGATTTGAGGGGCGATCTGATTTCTATTTAAAAACACATGGTAGTATCTATGTGATACTGCTAAAGACTTAATCCTAGCCCTTATAACATGTGTTTAATATAAACAATGTTGAACACCTTAAGAAAATGGGTATTGCAATGTAGCTCCCTCCGCCGTAAACCAACCCAGCGCCCGCGTGAGAGATCCTGACCTAATTGCACCAAACTCCTAATGACACTACCTTTCTCAAACGTAGATCGGTCGATAGAACAGTTCCACATCTAGCTCAGGCATCTGACCAAAGCCTTGCGAGTGGCGAAGCAATCGTATGCTCGATAGATGCCATCTGCCCCGTTGAGGAGATCTTGTATCCGACTACCCCTGGTTGTAGTGGTTTTCTGGTTGAAATAAGTGGAGATTGAGGTATAATAATTACTCCCTTCGGTGGTCCTGCCCTCTCGAAGACGAAGCAATCAAATATAAATCCGTTGCCATGGGCAGCCCTTACTTTCGTCTTCGGGATTAATAATTCCGTCCCTTTTCGAAGTTCAGGCGAGAGTAGCATTGTGGTCGGTATGGCGAGTACTTATTGTAGTTGAATAGTTGTTGACAGGGGTTGCGGGCATTCCGAATAAACAGCCACTCCTTCAATTCACTTCACCAATTCCTCAGCAAGCGATATCATCCTGGTACTACTTCTTCCGGCAGGAACCACGAGTTCCCAAGTGATGCACACATCAACACCAGAAACACCGTCCAAGATGAGACAGTCTCCCATCCCATCTTCCGTGTGGAAAGCCATTGACCACACGAAACTGCGAGTTCGTTCGCATACATAAGCGCCACCAACACCAGGTGGCAGACTAGCATCAGTCCGTCAACAGCGACCTCTGCAGCTTCCATAATCGCCGCTTCATCCATGGCGGCGCAGTTCTCTTTTCACCAGAGACTATTGCCTTCCAAAACACACTTCGCTGAGGATCACACCCTGCCGACGTCGATGAGATGGCCTTTTGGAGAAGCCAGGGAGATTGGTGGTATTGCGAGCTGGAGCTGGAGCCCAGAGCTATACTGCTTCAATACAGATTCCACTTATATATCAAATATCAAATATCGAGTATAGGCTGGCGGGAGGAAGAGATGGTCTGGGCAGGTGGTGATTGGGACAGGTGGTGATCCAGTTACGTGGGAGTATCGCCGGGCAGCGATGCGACGTTTGAGGCGAAAGGAACTCGATATAAGTTACCCAGTTGTCAAGCGGGAAGTGCGAGTATCGAAGGCTTATTCAGGATCATATCGTCTTTGATTCGGCCGCGATGTGGTGAGCTCCCGCACGCCTGTTTCTATAGTTGCCCGAGCAAGTGGTAGGTGACTCCTCTCCTCGCGGGATGAGGCGGAGTCATTCACTTTGGCATGGCCCGAGTCCTAGATCCTGGCTTTCGGCGGTTTATTGCAGGCTAGGTAGGTCAAGTTCGCGGCTGATGCAACTGTGCGCGAAAGGACCGACGTCAGAAAAGAAGCACGAGGTTGAAATGGTTAGAGGTAAGTGGATTGCCCTCGTTGTTCACAATGCCCCGTGATCAAATGACGGCGGGTAGTAAGCGTCATCCTTGAAACGCGGGATATGCGGGGGTTGCAGCGGCACGGATAAATGATATCTCCGATGGAGATGTTCTCAGTTAGTGTCTGGGCCAGGCTGAACCCTACTATCTCAGCTTAACGACACTCTTTGAGAAAATGAAAGTTAATAACTTATTCGTCTACTTTAGTTATCTATATTGCTACATATTTTGGATTGAGTAAAGACAACTCATGCTATGGAATCTAGTTAAAACACTGCTAACATTTCTCGCGTTGGCAACAAGGCGGGGGAGTCCATCTTCACAGCACTGACATTCGACACGAAAATATGTGCTGAAGGCTATGGCTGCTATAATTTATCCTGGGACTAAAGATAAATTGTGTGCACTGAAGGTGCGGTTGCCCATTGAAGTTTGGCATGGCTCCCTTTACGAGGAAGGGGCATTCGGCGAGCGGCGTCCTAGGCGTGACTTCCCAACCGCAATTTGGTCTACACTCAAACGAGATCATATCTCCAAATGTTTACACTTTCAACGACCATGTTTCAGTAGGTCTGCCGGTGCAAGCACCCAACATTCGTTAAGTTTTCTTTTGGCAATCACTTCTTCAGTATCATTCTTTATCTTCAATCAAGGCAGTTTCAAGACAACCCTCGGGATTCTTACCCCTCACTCGTTTTACAAAGCAATTGCCGTTCTCCCACAGTGGCCAAAGCTCCCACAATGGATACATGGAGAGCCATGATTTCCAGGACCACGTCGCCGATTGTCACCGCTTCTCATGTTGTCAAGGTCCCAAAGAACTTTCTCATATTTCGCTCACTGCAGCTTTCGCTGGCACTCCTCGTCTTGAGTCTCTCTATATACGGTTCTATTATCATGACCACTCCTATGGCCGGAGTTATCCTCAGTCTTATTACCCCAAGTAGCTGACACTCCATATCCAGTGGAGGAACTGCTAATAGGACTTGCAGTCGCTCTCCACAGTCATTGTTGCGTCATATACGCTTGTCGCTACTTACGGAGATATGCCGAGGATCTATAACTACTGGCTCATTCTCTCGTTGGAGGCCTTTGTCCTTGTCTTCTGGCTGCTGTCGATCTCTTTCCTGGCTCTTCCAGTTGGCGCTGCTTTCTACTTCGTGAATGGGGGTCAGGCTGGGCACTACAGCCGCTATGATATCGGTTTTGTCGCTGACCCTGTAATAATCGCCTTTATTGACCTCATGATGGTTTCGGTTGCTGCTGGAGTTATTGAGTTGTGCGTAATCCCTCCCATCATGGATACTTTGCAGCTGGCGGAATATAACTATACTAATCCCGAGCAGCATCCTCTACTTTATAACCCTTGCTACATTCAGTACGATCGTCCACTATCATCGACTCGAACATCGCCACTGCGCATGTGTGCGTTCAGAGACAGGTCACGGTGATATAGAAAGCGACTCGAAAGCCCACAGTGAAAAGGCCCAGACAGAGCCCGAGCCATTGATGTTTTCTGGGGATGAGGCCAGTCCAGAAAATGGCAGTCTGGACCTAACCACCCCGGAGTCTACAACCCCTGAAGAAGTTGTCTATCAAGAAGAGCAGCAGCAACAACACAGGGGCCAGCAAGAAGACTTGACAGCTTGATGGTCGGGAAGCAGGACGTTGGAGGATATATGACGTTGAAATTGCTGAAAGCCAGTACTGAGTAACCTTGGCATTGCATGAGAAGTTGGAACGTGTATGACGGACTGTATGGATAACTGTGGCTGTGACGGAGTTGGCGTTATCAAAAATACAAGAGCTCAATCATTCACTGGATTTGGTCTCAAAATGTAGTAACCCCGGATGTGACATTTCCCATGGCCATTTCTGGTTTAAACTTGATGGTTTTTTTATATTATGACGAAACTCATGCGCCACTTGATACATTTCCTCGTTCCCAAGTGATAACTGTTCATGAGAGTCTTATTTTATACATGACTTTGAGTAAATGTGTGTTTACACGCCTTGTATAATTTTATAAGATGGTTTTGTTTATTATTTATTTCAACGACCAATAATAATAAGACATAATTTTATTCGACAAATTTTATAATTTTATTATCACCATATGTAATGTAACCCACTGTACTCATTAAAACGGACAATTTATTACGTTTCAAGTGATATATATACGTGGCACTTGAAGAAGCAGCATAATCTACTGTTATATTTTTGGATCATTAGTTTATGCAAACGGGAGGAACATCCACTTCTTGAAACAAACTGCACGTGACATGAGATTGCCAGGGAGACGGTTAGCGCCAAATTTGTTACGCGATTCCAAGATAGGAGCAACCTTAATCAACAGACCCATCTCTACCTCCAGGAGAGAGCGACGACGACACAACAAACCTTCGACACCGCCATATCGACAACCCCGCCGACGAATCCAGCACCAACGACGACCACGACAACTACGACTACGACGACACGATATTCGCCTACCACGAAAGAATTCCATACGATTTGCAAACTGTTCAGATCGCACGCTTTACATTGCGCACGTATCCGAGACAGGGACAGATACCAAGCTTATATGCATACACCACGCAGCGAAACACGGCATATTTTTCAAATAAAGACTAGCAACAACCACTTCGACAGGCGCTTTGCGACAAGAATCAGCTAGACACAATTTTAAAACTTAAATAACACCACCAAGCGTCCCGGCGCATGCGATAAACACAACAGTAACCCAGATATAAGATAAGGCCAACCACCCATGGATGAACCACCATCCTCTCCACCAACGGAGTCAACCGCGCCGGAGGATGCGCTCGCCTATTACAAATCGCAGTATGAGCAGCTTGAGCATGAGCTAGCTGAGTTCCAGTCGTCAAGCCAGGAGCTTGAGGCGGAGCTTGAGAAGGATGTGGAGGCTGCTGAGGAACGGGAGAGGGCTCTGCAGCAGAAGGCCGAGACCTTAGGTTTTGAGGTTGATGAGTGGAAGGTAAACGCCCCTGCGACACCTCTATAATGCCAGAATGGTGGAATCTAACATATCGTCGTAGAACAAGTACAAGCAATCAAAGAACGAGGCGGGCGCGGCGCAAAATACCCTCCAAAAGGAGATTACGACATTACGAGACTCAAATAGGACGTTGGTGATGAAGCTAAGGGATATTGAAGTAGCCAATGACGACTTTGAGAGGCAAGCTCGAAATACAACCTCGTCGCTAGAGGATGTGGAATCGAAGTATAATGTCGCTATCGAGAGGGCGGTCATGATGGAGGAGGAGATCAAGATCGGAGAACAGGAAAGAGAAGGCCTCCGGATTGAAGCGCAGCGCCTCCGCGACGAGCTCGGAGACCTGAAGATCGAAGCAGAGATCTTGCAGGACAAGCTCAAGCGACACGAGAGCAGACAGCTACCAATATTATCTACAGACATTACCGCACCAAACACGCCCTCCTTCGCCGGCGAAATATCTCCCGACTCCATCGCTTCGTCTCCTCTAATCACCACACCGCCCGATAGTAAATCTGTCTCCACAGCCGACACTATCTCCGAAACACCTACGCCACCTTCTCCACCTATCTCCGATCGCTCATCGAAAGCGCCCAAAGCTTTCCGCACCCCTCTCAACCCTCCAAGCCGCATCCGAGCACCTTCCGCCGATCTTAGCGTTACTCCCAAGCCGATGCGATACCCGTCCTCTGCGCAACCACTCCGATCGTCACGCGGCCCGTCCATCCCTGCATCCTCTAAACGCCCAACTCCTTCTGTCAGCCTTACTGCTTCTCGGTCCCGCACTACTCAACCTAAAGGCTTACCCAACTCTGCATCACTCACTCACATCCGCTCCCTTACAGCCCAGGTGCAGCGCCTCGAGCAACGCGTTCAGTCTGCACGATCAAAGCTACCAGCACCGGTCAATACCCCACCACGAGCGAGCCCAAGGACAACGTCAGCAGCTGGTGGTTATATGCCGTCCTCAATCACGATACGCAGCCGCAAGCGCACTGGCGGCAGCACGATAAGCGCAACCAGCAGCGTAAATGGTGGAGAGGAGACCCCAAACCCGACAACCACCAGGCATGTCTCCCGCATAAGCACTTCGGGCATCAGCCGCCTGAGTTTCGGGCCCGTCTCGAATCGTGGCGGTAGCGAGTTTGATGGCAGCCGACCGAGCAGCCGGGCCAGCACCACTGGCGCCCCTGGCGGTGGTTTGGCACGCCCAGTAAGCCGTACGGAATCCAACCGCCCACAGAGCCGCACCGAGCTTGCCCGCCCGCTCAGTCGCACCAGCATGACTGGCGCGCGTACTCCGCTAGGCCATTACTCACAGTCTACGCTAGCGGAGTCTCGACGGCCTCGTAGCAGCATCGGCGGGAATTTCAGTGCGAGCATGGGACACGGGCATAGCCAGAGCGTGTCGCAGATCGATCTGGATGAGTACCGCGAGTTTGAGTTCGGGACACCGAACCGCCGGACTACGCTGGGGAGGGAGGATGGAAGCGCTATTCCGGTGCCTGCTAGTGGCCTGCCGAGGAGGCAGAGTGGGGGCTTAGTAGCGAAGACGCCGAGTAAGAGGATGAGTAATGGTATACTCAGGGATGGAGAGAGGGAGCTGGAGAAGAAGCGGAGCGACGCGAGTCTAGCGGGTGGAGGGATGAAGCCACCCATGCGGACGAGGAAATTGAGTGGGGTTGGGGAGAGCTACTAGGGGGCTTGCGGGAGGCGTTGGGATTTGCAGTATGGCAGGGGTGTTGGTGAGGGGAGTGTATATAATTTTCATGATTATCGGTCATGACTTTGATGAAGATATGACACTATGGGTTTTTTGGGCGATGGAATTGGAGCAGGGCTATGCGGGGCTAGCATTCTCTCGGGGGCGCCTTTGATGGAAAGGCCTAGCTGTTGATTTTTTATTCTGAATTACCATATTACCACATTACCACGTTTGAAGCCCAATTTTCTCAATCGAGCTCTGTGTATTATGTAAGTCCACTAGCTGCAACCCCGCAATGTGAAATTTGATGTGAGTGTTAGAGGAGAGTGTTTACAATAGGGGTCCTTGGAGGAGAGTTCCCGTGACGACAGTGTTGTTGTTCGGGTAAACAATAACGTGAAGTGGAGGAGGAAATTGTGGTGGGCGGTACGGCGTCGGATAAATAAATTTGCGTGAAGAGAGATGTATTTTGGGACTAAATTTGTTGGCCTCGGCATGTAATCCGGCTTGGAAAATTGATTATTATGATGATTATCTCTGTCCATAATCGTAATCGCGATTATTGTAAAATGCACATAATCATAATCATGATTATTGGCTATTCCTAGTCATCCCTGATGTATACCTAAGAGGGATTAGCGGTCAGCTTATTGCTTATTTGGTTTAGTGCGTGCATAGAATAAGTAGTAAGTTGCATATGGAGTACCACTGCATACAAATATATATATAGTGGTACTTATATCGTAAAGTCACATGACCGTAGTAGCTATTCATGATTTTCAAACTATAATCATAATCGTGAATTTCATGGTTATAGATTTTCATGCTTGTAATAAGATGTGAATATTTAAACATTTCAATATTCATGATTATGATGATTATTTCTGCTAACCCTGCATGTAATGGTGCGCTGTAAATACCCCGAAGCATGTAAACCTTTCGTGACTCGGGTTCCGAATAATTGAGTATGGCGGGGAAAAGGATTGGCAGAATCATGAAGGCGGGATATTACGGCTGTAGACGGAAAGAAAACATTGTGCGACGAAGAGCCCGTAATATTATCAATTAGAGGATTCTTGTTGGAGAGATGAAATGCTTTAAGATTGGGATTTATACTGTATGTGTATAGTTCCTCATCATAGTTCTCATCAATTAATTCCCATCCCCTTCAAACGTCGAGGTCACCATACCTTCTTTGGACTAGCCTGGATTCAACAAGTCCACCATCCCCCAACGAACGGATAATTCAAATCGGGTATGGCGGACGAAGGCGGAGAGCGATTTCTGTCTTTCTGATTGGTTGACGCGGGTGCATCCTCTACGTATTTCGTACAGTGGGACATTTTGCCCGCGCCCCATGCCCTTTTGGTCCAGCTCCCTCCCCGAATAAACCGAAAAGGCCTCCCTTCATATCTCGAGCCTCCACCATTCTCACAAGAAACATCATCTTCGCTCTCATCATCCTAAAGCTCTGCTCTCTCTTCACCCCCGCAGATCCTCCTTCTTCTTTTGACATTCGATTGTAATTTCTATACGAATTCTTAATACCCCGAAGCCCGCAAGACGCTCTTCTACCTTCGTCCAATTTCCACGCCCAACCTTTTATTATCCCTAAAGAGCCCGAAAAAAAACATCCCTACGGTTCTCCCTCAACCGTATACCAATACACGACGATAACATCGAGAAAATTGGTAGCCGCAGCAGTCTAAGCTCGTGCAATCGAGCCGGTTCGACATAATGTCCGTCCAGGCAAAGGCGGCTGACGCTGTCGCCAACGGCGTCAAGGCCCATACCAATGGCACTGTGCCGCTCGTCAACGGCTCGACACCGTCCTACGCATCGAGACACAAGCTTGCAGACCACTTCATTGGCGGTAACAAGCTGGAGAATGCGGCGCCCGGCGCCGTGAAAGACTTTGTGGCGGCTTGTGACGGCCACACCGTGATCACGAACGTACGTGTCAACCGAAACGCCAAAAAAGGAGATAGAGCCAAGCTAACTTGCTGTGTAGGTACTGATTGCGAACAACGGAATTGCTGCCGTCAAGGAGATCAGATCCGTCCGGAAATGGGCGTACGAGACCTTCGGCGACGAGAGGGCGATTCAGTTCACTGTTATGGCGACACCCGAAGATTTGCAGGCCAACGCAGACTACATCCGAATGGCAGATCAATATGTGGAGGTGCCAGGTGGCACGAATAATAACAACTACGCCAACGTGGAGTTGATTGTCGATGTGGCCGAGAGAATGAATGTCCATGCAGTGTGGGCTGGATGGTAAGAATAACCAGATAGGGAAGCATTGAAGGACGTTTAACTAAACTGAAATAGGGGACACGCATCCGAGAACCCCAAATTGCCCGAGTCGCTGGCAGCATCGCCCAAGAAGATCGTATTCATTGGCCCGCCCGGATCCGCGATGCGCTCGCTCGGTGACAAGATCTCCTCGACGATCGTAGCACAGCACGCCAAGGTGCCTTGTATTCCGTGGTCAGGAACTGGAGTTGACACAGTTGCCGTTGACGAGGGAGGCCTGGTTACCGTTGAAGATCACATCTACATGAAGGGATGCGTCGAGTCGTGGCAAGAAGGTCTAGAGAAGGCCCAGCAAATCGGATTCCCAGTTATGATTAAGGCGTCGGAAGGTGGTGGTGGAAAGGGAATTCGCAAAGCAGACTCCGAGGTTGGATTCGAGGCATTATACAAGGCTGCTGCAAGCGAAATCCCTGGATCGCCTATCTTCATCATGAAGCTGGCCGGAAACGCGAGGCATTTGGAGGTTCAATTGCTTGCAGATGAGTACGGAAACAATATCTCGCTTTTCGGAAGAGATTGCTCTGTTCAGAGACGTCACCAGAAGATTATCGAGGAAGCGCCAGTAACTATCGCCAAAACTGCAACTTTCCAGGCCATGGAGAAGGCCGCAGTGCGTCTCGGCCGCTTGGTCGGCTACGTCTCAGCCGGAACCGTCGAGTACTTGTACTCGCACTCGGATGACAAGTTCTACTTCCTCGAGCTGAACCCCAGATTGCAGGTTGAGCATCCTACAACGGAGATGGTTTCCGGTGTCAACCTCCCAGCTGCACAGCTTCAAATCGCCATGGGTCTGCCATTGCACCGTATCCGCGACATTCGTCTCCTATATGGCGTGGATCCTGCCGGCTCGAACGAGATCGATTTCGATTTCTCGAAGGAGGATAGCTCCCTTACTCAACGCCGCCCATCGCCAAAGGGCCACACGACAGCTTGCCGTATCACCTCTGAGGATCCTGGAGAAGGCTTCAAGCCGTCCAACGGTGTTATGCACGAGCTGAACTTCAGGAGTAGCTCCAACGTCTGGGGTTACTTCTCCGTCGGCACAGCTGGTGGAATTCACAGTTTCTCTGACTCTCAATTCGGTCACATTTTCGCTTACGGCGAGAACAGATCCGCGTCAAGAAAGCACATGGTCGTGGCTCTGAAGGAGCTGAGCATCCGTGGTGACTTCAGGACCACAGTTGAATATCTGATCAAGCTGCTGGAGACTCCTGCTTTCGAGGACAACACCATCACCACTGGCTGGCTCGATGAACTGATCTCGAACAAATTGACTGCCGAGCGCCCAGACCCAATGCTTGCTGTCGTTTGTGGTGCAGTATGCAAGGCCCACATTGCCAGTGAGGGTGCCATGTCAACATATAGAACCAGCTTAGAGAAGGGTCAAGTGCCCGCGAAAGAGGTTCTGAAGACTGTCTTCCAGATCGATTTTATCTACGATGGCCACAGATACAAATTCACAGCAACCAGATCGAGTGTTGACAGCTACCATCTGTTCATCAACGGCTCCAAGTGCTCAGTTGGCGCCAGAGCTCTCAGCGACGGCGGCCTGCTTGTTCTTCTCAGCGGACGCTCTCACAACGTTTACTGGAAGGAGGAAGTTGGAGCGACCAGATTGAGCGTTGACAGCATGACTTGCCTCCTCGAGCAAGAGAACGACCCCACGCAACTGAGGACCCCCTCGCCAGGAAAGCTCGTCAAGTTCACCGTTGAGAACGGCGAGCACGTCAAGGCTGGCCAGCCATACGCCGAGGTTGAGGTCATGAAGATGTACATGCCCCTTCTCGCTGGAGAAGACGGTATTGTGCAGCTTATCAAGCAGCCAGGAGCTACCCTCGAGGCCGGAGATATCATTGGTATACTCGCCCTGGATGACCCATCGAGAGTGAAGCACGCACAGCCCTTCCTCAGCCAACTCCCTGACCTTGGTCTACCACAAGTCGTTGGCACCAAACCTGCCCAAAGATTCGTCCTCCTTCACAACATCCTCCGCAACATCCTCCAAGGGTTCGATAACCAGTTCATCATGAACGCGACGCTTAAGGACTTAATTGAGGTGCTCAGAGATCCTGAATTGCCATATTCGGAGTGGAATGCCCAGTTTTCTGCGCTACACGCCAGAATGCCCCAGAAGCTTGACTCCCTCTTCGGCCAAATTGTTGAGCGTGCTAAGGCCCGCAAGGCAGAGTTCCCTGCCAAGAACCTGCAAAAGGCTCTCCAGAAGTTCCTCGAGGAGAATGTTGATCCTAATGACATTGACATCCTCAAGTCTACCCTGGTACCACTTACCGAGGTGCTTGAAAAATACGTGGATGGTCACAAAGTCAACGAGTTCAATGTATTCTCTGGCTTACTTGAGCAGTACGCTGAAGTCGAGAAGCTCTTCTCCGGAAGGACTTCGAGAGATGAGGAAGTCATCCTCAAGCTTAGAGAGGAGAACAAGGATGATATCCCCAAGGTTGTCCAGACTGTACTTTCACACAGCAGAGTAGGCGCAAAGAACAACCTCATCCTCGCCATTCTCGATGAGTACAGGCCAAACAGGCCCAACTCTGGTAATATTGCCAAATACTTCCGCCCGGCACTGAAGAAGCTCACTGAGCTTGAGTCGAGACAGACTGCCAAGGTCTCTCTTAAGGCCCGCGAGGTTCTCATCCAGTGCGCACTTCCGTCTCTTGAGGAGCGCGCTTCTCAGATGGAGCACATCCTCCGCTCTTCCGTTGTTGAGTCGAGGTATGGTGAGACTGGATGGGACCACAGAGAACCCAGCCTTGAGATCCTCAAGGAGGTCGTTGACTCAAAGTACACCGTCTTCGATGTCCTCCCTATCTTCTTTGGTCACCAAGACCCATGGGTCTCCCTTGCTGCCCTTGAAGTTTATATCCGCCGTGCGTATCGTGCGTAC